TGTCAGCACTGTGACAGGCCTACAGAGGCTCTAAACCACTCAATCACCAAGTGATCGAGTGGTTTAGAGCCCGACAGGCCAGTTTTCCACTCGATCACTCGGTGATCGAGTGGAAAAGGCACTGCAGGCCTGTCAGCACTGTGACAGGCCTACAGTGCCTTCAAACCACACGATCACCGAGTGATCGTGTGGTTTAGAGCCTCTGTAGGCCTGTTTTCCACTCAATCACTCGGTGATCAAGTGGAAAAGGCCCTGTAGGCCTGTCACAGGCCTGACAGGCCTACAGAGGCTCTAGGTGGTCACTCCATCGCACGATCACTCGGTGATCGTGCGGTGGCTGGGTAGACCACCTAAATCCTAGGTGGTCTACCTTTCAAAGGTAGACCACCTAGCAGTTAGGTGGTCTAGTCAATGACTGGACCACCTAACTCCTAGGTGGTCTGACTCTAAAAGGTAGACCACCTAGGATTTAGGTGGTCACTCCATTGCACGATCACCAAGTGATCGTGCGGTGGCTGGGTAGACCACCCAGGATTTAGGTGGTCACTCCATCGCACGATCACTCGGTGATTGTGCGGTGGCTGGGTGGACCACCTAAATCCTAGGTGGTCTACCTTTCAAAGGTAGACCACCTAGCAGTTAGGTGGTCTAGTCAATGACTGGACCACCTAACTCCTAGGTGGTCTGACTCTAAAAGGTAGACCACCTAGGATTTAGGTGGTCACTCCATTGCACGATCACCAAGTGATCGTGCGGTGGCTGGGTAGACCACCCAGGATTTAGGTGGTCACTCCATCGCACGATCACTCGGTGATCGTGCGGTGGCTGGGTGGACCACCTAAATCCTAGGTGGTCTACCTTTTAGAGTCAGACTGCCTAGGAGCTAGGTGGTCCAGGTATTGACTAGACCACCTAAGGTCTCAGGTACTATACCTTTTAAATTTAGTGACTCAAACTTTAAAAGGTACAGTAACTGGGACCTTGACGGTCCAAGGTACTTGGAAGCCACTTGATTAATGAGTGATTGAGTGGAAAATTGGGCTGTCAAGTTTGACCGCCTAAGCGCTAGGTGGTCAAACTTCAAAAGTAAGGCCACCTAGCAGTTAGGCGGCCAGGCCATTGCACGATCACTCAGTCATTGTGTGATGAAGCTACAGTCGGTCTGGGGCCGAGTTCAACATCTTT